TATCTTTATTCATGGATTTTTATTTGTATTCACAGTTAAATAAATGGATAATACTTTTATTCCAAAATAATGTAATAATTATACATTATAGTGCAAAGAAAAATGGAAATTCTGTGAACAGAAACATTTTATCTTATTAAATGGTGACATTTGTTTCTGGTGTTTTAGGGAATTACTTAAAGTTAGATATTGTTGCAAATTTATTCCAATGATTTCACTGACAGTATGAGATTTGCTAGCATTATCTTTATTTCATAGAATGTGCAACTTGAAATATTTTCATTATTAAAGTTCATTTATTTGTGTTAGCTGAATTCTGACAGTTATAGCCAGATGCTTGAATGAGTATTTATGAAATTAATTGTTATTTGTGCAAGGCAGAGAGATGGAAGTAAGACAGCCTGGCAGTTTCTGCATATGAATTAACATTTTGTCTATTGTGTAGCAAAATCCTTTTTTTTTTTAACTCTGTATTTCTCTCCTGTGGCAATTTCTAACTTCATTCTGTCAATATTTCCGTGTGCTAACTGTGAGTCTCAGCTAGAAAAAAGAGGTTATATACTCTTCCTCCTACTGTGCAAACTTATAGAATAAACAAAACAGTTGTTGCTCATCCCAGGAAGACAGATTTTGGGCAGAGTTCCTCATATTCTGTAACATCCAGAAGAGTTTCAGACATTTGTACAGAACCTTATTACTTTATCACCTTAAGTTTCTCTCTGCTGTCTTCCCATGACTTTTTCTCCTGCCCTTAAAAGAACATGAATCATCATCACAAAGAGAAACCTGTTTAAGCTTCATAAAAATGCTATTCATTTTTTTTTCTTCTGAAAGAGATTCAGGTATTTCCAAGGGACTCAGTTTTTCCTTGAGAGTAGTAAAATAATGAGTCATAGGTGCAGCAAAGTGCTGTTAAATCAAAACACTCCATTTATTAACATGCACAGTAGTCATGCTGCATACATCCTCTGCAGTAATATGGATTCAGATTAAAGGGAGAGAAGTAAGGGAAAAAAACCAAACCATCCTCTAATTTGTAATGCTTCTTTGACAGAAATTTCACTCTGCCACCACAATCTCACATATATAGGAGTGAAGATGTTGTTTCATCAACAATGTCTCAGCTACTTTGTTTCAAAATAAATTTACATCCTTCTTCAGTTAGATTTGACATCCTCAAGGGATTGAATTTGGAACAGGAATAACATTGCTCTATGCAGCAGATACCTCTCCATTGAGAGCCATGTAACAATGTGGTATTTCTGTTAATTAACCTCATATGAGATCTACGTTGGGATTAATGTAGAGGAACTGTACTGCTAGTTCCCCTAACCTTCTTTTCCTTGGTGAAGGTTTATGTAATATATCACAATTCTTAGAAGGTTTCTGAGGCAGATTACTTCAGTGAAAAGACAATTTAATATGCCAGAGATTTTTTCTCTCATTCTGCTGTAATAAAGTAACATAAACAACCTACGCTGGACCAGAGAAGCAGCTGGGGAATATTGTTTTGGTTTTACTGACTTGAATTTATGGTACAATTTATTTCACAACAAATCTTGTGTTCGATGTTGCTTTCCTATGGTTCATTTTGTCAGCAATCAAAATTCTAAGACAATAAAAGTAACTTTTCTAGATAAAATGCTTGCATGCTGTATTTTAGATAGCATGAGGTCCTGCATTTTTTTCTATCAAACATATTTCTGTAGGGTTTTTTCTGTACTGTGTTAATTTTTTCAATTTATTAGATTTGCTTGCAAATTACAGGAATCTGTACAATAAAAAGGGCTTTATACTTATTGTTGCTTAAACTTTAGGATTAACCTATTATCACATAATAGGTTAAACTTAATTTTTTATTCAGTAAATTTTATTCTTTTCTGTTGCTGTGTTTCTTTTTAACTTCTAGTTGACAAAATTAAAAAAACCCAACCAAACTAGCAACAATATTAGTGGCATATATCTTCAAGAAATATTAATAATTTTGTATTGAAGCCTTAAAATAGCATACTAAACCAAAACGATTATACCTGGTAACTTCTTGTGTCACATTGTCCTACAAGCCTACCTTGAGAATTAAAGCCTAACTTATAAATGGATAACACTAAGCTCTGAGCTGTTGTGAATCATGTTAATTTATTAATTAACTAACTTGAATTAGATAATTTATTTAATTTGGAGAGTTCACAAGAGACTGTACTGCTTTTCTGTCTTTGGAGTATTCCTTCCAAATCTGCTTCTCAATCTAACCAGTCACTATGTGAATTATCACAGCAAAATCAATTCACAAAACTGAATTATCCAGCTAAAGCTCACAGATACTGTGATTAGAAAGACAAAATCTATTGATATAACAGCTAGAAGAAACTGGAAAATCTCAAATGATACACTGAAAGAAGGGGATTTCGCTTTCAGTATATCTGGAACTTGATATCCATCAATAAATATGCCAATGGCATAATGTAAACATATGGTATGCAGTGGACTGGCTCTTTTCACATTTATGCACTGAATGTGAAAGAAATGAAAATATTCATTGTGCCCAGGACTATTTCCCTGTGAGAAAAATTTATTTGTATATGGAAAGAGGAATAAGCTGATTTTATACTTAAATAACAGAAACACATATTGTAAAAAATAACCACTATTTTGTGAAGTATTTTCTTTCAATCTCAACTCCTAGCAAGTAGTGAAATTTTCATTTCTCTTACATTACTTTTCAGTCCCGCACTTTTGTTACACTCTGTGAGACAATTATTTTGTAATCTTAATTACTCCAAGTATTCTTTTACAACTGGAGTATCTGTTCTCATCCAGAATGGTTCTTTGTTTTCAGAAGGCAGTAGTTATTATTTTTCCTACATATATAATATATTCACCTCACACCATCACTGATACAAATTTGGTCCAGTTTTTGAGGACATATTACACTAATAGGTATGTCTGGGTTAATTCCACAAATGCAATTGCAGAAGTCATTGTATATAGATACATAGTGCTGTGCAGGGGATTCTAAAGTATTCGCTGATTCTTTAAATATTGCATATATATGTAATTTTATTCATTTCTATAGGTCCCAGGGGTGTTTATAAAATCAGATATTTAGGTTGCATGTAGTGAACACATTTGCATTTTTTTAAATGTAGACTCCTAGTCGTGCTTTTATGTTGTTTAAATTTTAAAAACATTTACAGTAGCACTAATATTTGGTGTGCCCTAAGGTTTCTTTTCAGTGAAATTATTCATCCTTGGAAAGTAATCATGGCTGAAAGGCAAGTCAAATACTGCTACTGCTTAGTTAAATTTTAAATTTCATCTTAACAGAACTCAGTAATATATCTCATAATTCTATTCTTATTCTCATGATGATACATTATTTTTTCATTACATGATTAGAGTTCAGTATTTTTAAATCTCACAAAATGATAAAGCTAAAACATGCTGGAAGACATACATTTCTACTGCTCTATTTACAAGAAAACACTTATGTTTCAATGGCAAATTCATGCAAAAATGACCAAATAGAGTGTGAAATGTGGAAGTTACTGTTTTCCCAAATTCATTAAATCCCTTTAGCTTCACATTTAATGGGAACTCTGTTGGACTGCTGTAGAAACTAAAGAAATAGAAATTCTAATAAATCTGCACTGAAAAGAATAACAAAGAGTACGGACAGAAATAATTAAGGTTTCATTTGATATATAACCTGAAGGCCTAAAGCAACTAAAGAAATGCTTCTTTATAATGAAAAAAATTAGGCTCCCTAGGGATTGTGAAAGATACTACTGGCTCTTTTTTAAGATATTACATTTCTACAACCACTTGCCAAGTTCAGGGGAAGAATGACCTCCCTGCTCCTGCTGGCCACTCTATTCCTGACACAGGCCAGGATGCCCTTGGCCTTCTTGGCCACCAGGGCACACTAGGAGTTCATCCCACTGCTGTTGTTCCCGCTGCTGCTCAGGGAGTGGAGTCCTTCCCCTTCTCCAGCACAGGTCCTTCCCATGGGAGACAGTTCTATGAACTACACCAAACTGACTCCATCCCATGGACAGCAGTTTTCCAGTAACTTCTCCAGCGTGGGTCACTCTTCCCCAGGATCAATTCTTCAAGTACAGGCTGCTGCTTCACCCACAGGGTCACAAATCCTACCAGGAAACCTGCTTCAGCATTTGCTCCTGGAGTGGGTTTGCAGGTCCCTGCCAGGAGCCTGTTCCAGCATAAGCTTCCCATGGGGTCAAAGCCCTCTATCATCATTGAATTGCTCTGGTGTGTGCCTCTTCCATGGGCTGCAGGTGGAACTCTGCATCCCCATGGTCTCCCATGGGCTGTAGGGGCACAGCTGCATCTCCATGGGCTGCATCATGGGGATGCAGGGTAATCTCAGCTCTGGAGCAACTCCTGCCTCTCCTTCTGCACTGAACTGGGTGTCTGCAGGGCTGTTGCTCCCACATCCTCAACCTGCTCTTCTCTGGCCACAAATACATCTGCACAATAACTTTTTCCTTCTTAAATATGTTATTACAGAAGGCTACCATCACTGGTGGGCTCAGAGCTGGCCAGCAGTGGGTCCAACCTGGAGGCAGCTGGGATTAGCTCTGTCAGACATGGGAGAAGCTTCTGGCGCCTTCTGCTGAAAGCCACCCCTGTAGCAGCCTCGCTACAAAGACCTATGTGTGCAAACCCAATATGCTGTGCTCACAATCTGAATATAAGATATTGCTCCCCATCAAAGTTCTTAATTGTTGCCCAACACTGACTTCACAGTTCCTGCAGAAGCATAACTTCCTCAGTCACAGCAATGATTTTACGCAGATGAAAAAAGGGACTATTAGCACTCAACAAAAAGCTAATGTACTGTGATAAAACCAATGTACTGTCAGAATACGAGACTTGTTATTTACAAGTGAAGAAGGAAAATTACGAATTTGTCTTACTTTTCTGTTTATAAATTTATTACTTCATCAAATTTTATTCCTTTTTTTTTTTTTTACCTTTAGCTATGGTTGTTCTGAGCAATTTGGAACCAAATACAACCTATGAAATCAAAGTAGCTGCCGTAAATGGAAAAGGGCAAGGAGAGTACAGCAAAATTGAGATCTTTCAGACCTTACCTGTCCGTGAGTAATACTTGTGCTGTTAAATGAAAGTAATTACTATTATAATTATTTTTATTATTATTATTATTATTATATCTCTAGATTTGTTAAATTATGATCCACTGTAGATAATGTTTCAGGTTTACAATCCACTCCCCAGTGTATTATATCAGTTTTTACATTGTTTCTCAGGAATCATGTTTTGTTGTTCCACCCTTTAAAGAAGTTTGAGTGTACTTAAATTGGAGAATTTATCCCATTATCTTCCATTTTTGAGATTCAGAAAAGCCTTTATGATACAATGGAGCGCAAACCATGAGAGATACTAGAATAAGGAATTTTTGTCATTATTAACACTCAGGGTATTTTCCACATCTAAGTGAATTGGCCATTTCTGGAAACATTTCTTCACCAAACTATGATGCTATTATCAAGCAATAGATAAGCCTGCAATTATCAAGCCTCAAATAGAAATATTAAACTCTGTAAGAAATGATGAGAATAAATTGTTTTAACTATGGCTACATAAAAATCAGAAATTCTATTAAACCAATTTTCTATTTGTACAAACTATAGACCAAAGGTTCAGATTAAAATATTAAGGGCAAATGAATAATATTTTTCTCAAATTATCATTCAATAGAAACAACGGTAAATAAATTAAATACATAGAGGGAAGAAAAGCAAAGGAACTACCAGATGGCAGTGTACAGTAATCAAACAGATATGCTGAAATACATCAGCAGCTACTGCTAGACCAGTCTGTCATAAATCTGTTGCAACTGAACAGTTTCCTGAATAAGGCATTACTCAGTGTAGCTAATACTGGCTCAAAGGGACTGAACAATAAAAGTAATGTAACTACAAAGAACACAAAATATTTCTGTGATATTATATTCTATTATATTACATTACCTTACATTGCATGATATCATATGATATGATATGATATATTATTTATTATGTATATTGCATTATACATTTCTTCTGTCCCAAAACAGTAGCTCAGCAGCTTTCAAATTTCTTTTTCATTGAAGTATATACATATTCTAAATATATTCTAGGACAGATAAAATAATTTCCTATTACTCTTGTCACTATACTTGTTGAAAGAGTGACAAAAACTGAAAGACATTATACATATATATACATGTTATCTGATAGAAATCTAGATAAGTTTTATGTTTCATTGAAGTATATACATATTCTAAATATATTCCAGGACAGATAAAATCATTTCCTATTACTCTTATCACTATACTTGATGGAAGACAAAAAACTGAAAGACATTATACATGTTACCTGATAGAAATCTAGATAAGTTTTATCTTGTGATCTAAGTAAGTTTATCCTTACTTTAATAAGTACTAAACACAATACAATAATTTCTGAAGGAGCAGTATCTCTCTGGGTAAATGCATGTTTACAGATATTCTGAAGATGAGACACTTCAGTATATGTTCATTTAGGATCTCTTTCTAAAAAATGTAATAGGCATTGCATATAGAAAAGATAATCTGTTAATGTTTGACTAGGAAAGGGTCTGAAAGTGGCTGTTAATCTTTGATTGTATTTTTAAGACTATCTTTATCTTCTTATTATAACTAAGACATTTGGTTTTAGATTTGAAAATATTACTCATTACATTTACTCTTGATATTGACTTCTCTAAGAACTTGTTATTCTTAGATAACTTTTATTCTAATTTCACTTGCTACATTTATTGGAAAGTAAATTTACTTTAAATTTAAAAATTGTATTTCAACTTAGAAATCTCATATAAGATTAAAGGTTATGCTTAAGTTATAGATGCTTACTTGTAAGAGATCATCTTGTAAACTTCAATGTGAGCAAACTAAGACATTTGGTTTTAGATTTGAAAATATTACTCATTACATTTACTTGTTATTGACTTCTCTAAGAAGTTGTTATTCTTAGATAACTTTTACTCTAATTTCACTTGGTACATTTATTGGAGAGTAAATTACTTTAAATTTAAAAAATGTATTGCAATTAGCAGTAGGATTAAAGGTTGTGCTTAAGTTATGGATGCTTACTTGTAAGACAGTGTCTTTTAAACTTCAGTGTGAGCAGCAGGTTATCAGCCTTGCTGAATTGATGACTAAATGATTTTGGAAGGAAATTCCATTTAAAAGTGTTGGAAGTCAGAAGGCCTCAAATATTTCTTTCATACTTCACATAATTTTATTTCCTTGTATGAGTGATGACTAAATGATTTTGGAAGGAAATTCCATTTAAAAGTGTTGGAAGTCAGAAGACCTCAAAGAAATTAATATTTCTTTCATACTTCACATAATTTTTATTTCCTTGTATGGAGAATCTTCATTAGAATATATTTAAAGCACAGTATTTAACATTCTTATAAAGGCTGTTTTATAGTGCCTGGAATGGTCATATTGATTTTAAGATTTTGATTAATATGGAGAATCTTCATTAGAATATATTTAAAGCACAGTATTTAACATTCTTACAAAGGCTCTTTTGTAGTTGTCTGGAATGGTCATATTGATTTTAGGTTTTTGATTAATATTATTATTATAGACAAGTTCCTAGCTCTAATTTAAGACTTATCTCACTGCTGATTTATTATTATTATTGTGTACTGTTTGTTTCCTTATTTAGGGGAGCCAAGCCCCCCTTCAATTCATGGACAACCAGAGAGTGGCAAGAGTTTTAAACTTAGCATAACTAAACAAGATGATGGAGGTGCCCCCATACTGGAATATATTGTCAAATACAGAAGTGTAAGTATTTCAGTTAATTAAAAAAAGTGAAATTATGCTTGTTAATACCTGCTTTTAATGCAGAGAAAATTGTTGATATTATTTTAAACTTACCCAAGTGGTTTGCATTCCAGAAAATAATTAAGAAAAAAATATAGTATGTTTTCCTTTGGAACTAAGTTGCAGCTGCCAGCAGATAAAATAAAAATTGAAAAAAACCCAAAAAGCACTCAGCTATTCCTAAAGGTATACTGAAAATTCATGCTGTCAAGAAAACTGTTCTTCTTCAGTTGTATAGTATAAGTGGGGCATCTGTGTTCAGCTTTTATAAACGGTAAATTAGCAAACATTAAAATGACACACTTAAAGGTTGTTTGAACAACAAATTTTTTATCTATTATAAATGCATTTGTATTGATAGAAAGCTATATTAGAGTGCTCCATATTAATTATAAATGACATTAATTAGCTGATCACATTTCATATCTTTTATCTGCCTGAATTCCAAGTCTCATCTTACAAACGCCGTTGGCACATTGTTGGGAACTTCATGAGTTTCAGGGCACATATCTGTTCTTAAACAGCCATTGGGCAGAGCTTTTTTGCATTCTGCCTTCTAGAAAGTTCTGGTTTGGTGTTCTCTCATCAAATCTGGCAAGTTTAGAGAACAGGCTTTTCTGCAGTATATAATATATTTTTAAAAAATCTGTGGATTTTTTATTTTTATTAATAATGGAGATAAATACATTTCCTGATGTACTGTGTTTAGAAATGATTGGATTGAAGAAGTAGCTGCAGAGCTGGCAAAAGTGATTTGTTTCATTCCAGTGTAAATTTTTTAAAAATTTCCTTGTATAGTACCTTTCTTGAGTAGACCCATTTTACCAGAGTGTTACAGCATAATTTCATGTCCATGAAAAGTCTAGAAAATTGGGAATGTAATATTAGCTATGTAGGCATGTTAAATGGAAGGTAGTGAGGACTGTATTTGTTCATAGAAAGAAGCAATTTTTGAGAAAGTGACTATAGAACCTGTTGTAATGTTACCAAAAGGAAAAACAGTTCCTTAACTTGTAATAGGTTTTTGTCACATTATGTCATCATGCATTATAGATAATGCAACTTTTTTGTTATAGTCTAGGGATTATCTGAATGCTAAACCTGGTGTGTAAAATTGTTCTCCTATGCTAAATATAACCAAAGAAGATTAGTATCTCCAAATTAATTGAGAAATATTTGGTAGCACTCTGAAGAGTATTCTGGGGGAATGACCAGAAGTTATTCTGCTATCACCGATCCCTAACTATAAATTGACCTTAAATTACTTCCCATCCAGTAAATACAGTTGACATAAAAGAAAAGTAATAGCAAAGACAAGGGTAGTAAAATATGCAATACAAGATAAAAATGGAGTTTTGCAGGATTGAACTTCCGAGTTAGATTACAATGCCTTTAAGTATTTACCACTGAGTACAAAGTAAACATTTTGGATATAATACACTCATGCAGCATATGGAATTTTTTCTGTTTTTTTAATTAAAATAAGATAAATTCTTTTGGTTCTATCCCATAAAATTCTTGGATATCTAATTTTGATCTTGTGTTTTGACTAAGGTACAATATTATAGTATAAAAGATTACTTTTCCTGAGTTGTGTTGGAAAGCAAATGCGCAGTTTAAGCAGTAACTGGAAACTTAAAAGGTTACTGAAGAAGACAACTTTTCCTTGGCCCTCAAATCCTTAACTCCTTGAACTTCCAATTGAAAAAGCAATTTGACTAAATTAAAGGCCTTTCTACAACAAAAGAAGCAGAATAAATTTTTTGTGTTTTAATCAGCAAGAATGAATGCTCTTTAAAGTTCATAATTATCTGTTGACTGCTTCTCTTCCATCTTCCCCATTGGTCGTTTTTAATTAGCTTTCCTATAACTCTTGCCAGACTCATTATTAGCACCTGGACCAATGTATTTGCTTGCATGTTTGAAGAGCATATTTGATAACAACCCATACATCAATGGCTTTTCATTCAATAAGTTAATTCACCCATGTGTAAGTTTTATGAAGATTATTTTTTTTTTTTTAACTGGAGGAAGGACAGCCTTTATTAAAGCAATGTTGCAGCCTGGTTGAGGGCAATCAACAAGTTATTTTTCTGGAAATCATGTATTTCATTCTGTTGAATATTCCTTTCCTAGCATCAGTTTCTTCATATTATGGGCAGTAATTACTAACTACAATCAGACTACAGCAGCTTGACATTTCCTTCTCTATTCCAGAGTATTAGGTACTGTGCAATTTTTATGATTAGCAGCCTCAATTTTTTTCATGCTGTTGCACTAAGAAAGTTGAGACAGCCTGACAAAGCTTCACTGATGGAGTCTGAGCCTGATGGCACACATTGACTTTAAAGTTACCTTAGGAATGAATAGGCAGGGAAACAAGGGAAAATTGTTCCCTGGTAACCAGCTGGAAAGAGCAAAGATGGAAATTCTCTAGAGAACCATCCTGTCTTGTGCCCTTTAATATTTTTTCATGAGGGCCAACTCAAACCTCCCTTTGGTTCTTCTGCTTATGGTGCTTCCAAAGTTGGTTGGGATACACATGGTGACGTGCTGGTCTTTCACATCAGATGCGAAGCTTTATCCCTGTCAGTTTTGGAAATGTGTGCTCAGTTGGTAAGTGGCTGTAATCTGATGGGGCATTTACCAAGTAACGGAGTATTAAATTGAAATTAAGAGGGGAGTGTTGACAAGACGAGGAGGGCCAGTAGGAAGGAGCAGTGGGAATACAGGGAAGAGGCTGTCACAGCAGCTCAGGACAGGCAGGTGACCAGGACAGACAAACAAGAGAAAGGCAGGCTACAAAGCAGCCTTTGGAAAGTGTTGACACTGATTAAGCTTACTTCATAATGCTTAAAAAGAATGTTCTGAATAGGTGTCTTAACATTTCTATATTGCCAAGTCGCAGAATGGCAACAGTAAGCTGCATTAAAAAAAAAAAAAATTTTTGCGGGGGGCGAAAAAGGAAAAAAAAAAAAAAAAAAAAAAAAAAAAAAAAAAAAAAAAGTGTGGTGAGGGGATGAGGGTTGTTTTGTTCTTTTGGGTTTTTTTTCCCTGGCAGGGAAAATTTTAGTGAACATTTGGAATTAGAACAGAATAATAAAAATAACTCTCTTTTATGATTACAAACCTTTTGATGGAAGCAAGAAAAATTTATTAAAGTGGCTAGTTTTTACAGGCCTAAAATTTTTTCACCTTTTTTGACCTGTGACAGGGTTATTATTAATGCTCTGAATTTTGGCAGATAAGAGTTTGATAGCTTATGTGCTTTGCTCTGAAGCACATTCTCTCCTTTTTGACTGTGTTGTTTGATGTGGGACATGTTAATTTTCTTCATTTATGGTGGGTTCTACAACAAACTTTTAGATATAAAATATTTTAAAAGAGATAATTTCTCATTTTCTCCCGCTCTGAGATACCTACCAAGAAACAGGTAAATGACTGGCATCTCTGGGTTCCAGTCTACCTGCTGGATCCTCTGACTTTCTGTGTATTTTAACACCATATACATTACCAGCTGTTTTGTGCTTGGTTTAGTGTTTGCCTTAGAATTTTATTACCCATATTACCAAATCTAGAAATCCCCATCCTGATGTAATTAATTCTTGTGAAGTCACTGCTTTAAATGATCAGATTTTCTTCTGTGAGGATTTCTTTATATTTTTTCCTGCCAGCTTTCAAGACAGTATGGTGTCTCCTGTCCCTTTTTTCATCACAGGGACCACCATAATAAATCTGTTTGAGCTGAGCTGTCAGCTCAACAATTTAGAGATGATGGAGAATAAAGGAAGAGTTGAAGGGCGTTATTCACTTATTCTCACTTTTTATGAGATCCCAGAGAATGTGATTCTGGATACAATGTAAAATGACCATTAAAGAGAGAGATGGCATTTTCCAGACTAGTAAACTGCTGCCCAAACAATGAATTGGCTTCACTTCCACTGTTGTCAGGTGTGCCCTCAGTTTTCAGAAGCAGTCAAGCCATGGTAGACTGAAATTTTACACTGCATTGTTTAGTTCTTAGGGTTTTTTTTTTGTTTCAGGGGAAGTGTGTTTATTTTTGTTTTTGTTAGGGTATTTAGGTGGTTAGGTTATGGCTGTCTTAAAATAGACTCTTCTTAACTAAATTTGGCTGATAATTATACTACGAAAACAAAATGGACCCAAAGTTATATAAAGCCAATATATACACATTCAAGAAATAATGATGTGAGGATTTTGTAGTTAATTTTGTTTTATGTTAGAATAAGGCTGAAGAGTAATGGAAGTGGGCAGTGAAATCCTCAGAACTGCCAGTCATTAGCTACGTTGTCAGCAACCTTTTGTAAAGGAGTATTTCTGCATAACATGAAACAAAATAAGATGTAAATAAAGGAACAGTTTAATCTCTGAGGTTGCAGATCCCATCACAGTTTCTGTAAATGTGGATTTGTTGCTTGATATTGATAACTATTGAAGACATTTATATTAATTCACCCCCCAAACTAGACTACTGTTTGTAATTTAGAAGTTTCATTCCTTTTGTTGTAGAACACTGTGCATATGTAGAGCTTTCTATACGTTTTAAGTATTAATAACAGAGCAACCTAATAAGGTACAAAGTGATCTCTTATGGTTCTCTCTTCTGCTCCTTAAGCTGCTATTTAAAGGGTCATATATTAAAAAGGGAGATTTGTGGGAAGATTTACCTGGCAGACCCATGATTTGTGTTCTCATCCCTCTTTTCCCATTTCTGCACTTGTAGTAGATCAAACATGGACACATTACTGAGCTCTGCTTGGGGGAGGGCAAAGTACTTGAAAATGCAATACAGCTGAAATAACAGCTATAATGAAGGACACAAGTTATTTTCCTTTTTTTGTTTGGTTTTTTGGGTTTGTTTGGTTTGGTCTGTTTGTGTTTTTTTGTTTGTTTGTTTGTTTTTTGTTGTTTGTTTGTTTTTGTTTTGTTTTGGTTTTGTTTTGTTTTGTTTTGTGGCTGTTGTTGTTGGGGTTTTTTTCCTTCTTTAGGAAGCCATAAGCAGACAGTACTCTGGAAGATTTCATCTCTTTGTCTTTGTAACACACCTTCCTCTCTAGACACTTTATTCCTGTTCCTCCTAACTTGTGTTTGTCACTCTTCAAAAAGTTTTCTGTCTTTGCACTCAGGTCTTGGACTTTGTTTCATGTATCTCAATTCACCCATTTGGTTTCAGTTTCAACTAAATTATGGAATCTCTGGCATAGCACAGGCAGGTATCTTGTGACATTTCAGGTCATTCATTATTTTTCACCTGACCAAATTGTGGAACACCTGCCTTTTCACTTGTTCTTCTGTCTGCAGAAGTGCAGCTTTATCTCATTCATCACATAGATTTTTGCACTTTTTTTTCAAAATATAATCATACCTCTGTTTTCAATACTGTCATTTTCTGCAGCAACTGTATTAGCCTGAATCTTTAGTTTCCAACTGAGCATATTTTTTTGTCTTTCTATGTTTCTGAAACCCCTTGGAATTCCCTACTATATTCACATGGCATCTGTGCACAATACTGACATAATGTAGACAGCTTCTGATTCATGTTGATATTCTTTGAAGTCTAGCTGTATTTTCTCTAACTCCTTTCATACCTCACCAATTTCAACAGCTATTAAAGTACAGTGCTACATAACACTGCTATTCCTAATATCACTAAGGAGTATTTTCATATGCCTATTGCAATCAGTATTAGCTCCTTCTATTTCAGCAGTGCTATGAAAAAAATATATTTTATAAAAGGAGTTTAGTACAGTGACAGTGTGCATGGATTCACTCAGGTGATTGCAATAGAAAGTATCCATCAAGATATGGGAAAATATCCTTTACAGGAAATGCTGCTTTCACTGGAAATTCTGTTTGTATGATGAACAAACTGGTTTTACTCCAGTGTATGAAGTTATTTTCATGATTTGTAACTGACCTACCATTCTGACGTTTTTCATTAGTCTATCACTGCACCAAGTAGGAATTTTTACCTGGATGAAAATATTCCTGAAAACAGGTTTTGTTGGATTTTAATCATTCTCAGAACTGTTATGTGACAATACCAATGCTGATGCAGACAAAGCAAGAAAGTTTATGAAAAGGTGAAGTCAGCATGGAAAAATCATCAGCCTCGGAGCTGATAACAAATGAATTATTGCATCAACGCACACAAAGGAATTTCGTGTGTTCTTTATTTTCTGAAGACCTGGGACAAAAAAAAGAAGGTCATAGAGAACATGATTGGTCCCTGAACGCTCTAAATTAGTTGCTATTTTCTCTGAAACCTGTATCAGTGAAGAGCAAGATGCTTCAGCAAAGGGCCTAAATATAGGTTGCTGAGTACTGTGCAGCTAAGTTATACTTGCAGGTGTTATAAGTTTGTTTGGCTTTAAATTTTTCTGTATGGTTTATACCCACTGATGGCCAAGATCTGTCTCAAATATTTAAGCCATGCTATTGTACCTGTGTCTCGTAAGAGTATGGCTGCATGGATTGTCACTGACTGTTACTGGCCGTCCTTTGAACAAGATTACTTTTTTGTTTGACACTATATATTGCTTTATCCTTCCACCCATTAACAATTGCGTAATTTCTATTTGTATATAAAAAAATGTATTATGCACTCAAAATAGCGATTGCAAAGGTAAGAACTCCAGATTTATGAAATGCCAGAATTAAGTTTGCAATCTAAGTCCTCATTTGTACTCTTTGTGTAGATGTCTTAATTACCTGAACTATGAGAAATTACGAGAATCCTTTTTTGTCTAGAACATCATCCTGAAGATTTGCATGTATCTTCTCACAGGTGGACATAGTACTTCATATTTTGTCAATGATGTTTATATTCTTGCATGCAACCTGATTTGCAAAATGTTTCCATATTGCTACAATTAGTATATATTTTGTTAAATAACTAATGTGATATAAGCACTGATGGACTCCTGAAAAATTCAAGAATGGATTCATTGGCAAGTTTGTTTGAATGAATATTGATCAAAATGTAATTGAAATGTCTGTATAAAATAAACTTCTTACATTATTTATTTTTAGCATTTTATTATATGTGATTAGCCTGCTGTTTTATAAAATAAAACCCAGTATTTGAGCAAAGAATAAACTGAAGACAAAAAGTTTAAAAGGATTGACCACAAAATTCTCTAAATCCACATTGTGAAAACATGATAAGGAGTAGTCAAAATTACAAAAAGCCTAAGTAATCAGAACTCCAACATTAGATTAGTGTTCATAACCTCGGTAAAGGCAGCTCCATATCTTTGTGCATCATGTCCATACAGACTTTAGACAAATAATACTAAGAGTTTGGGAGAGTTGAAACAAATATTTTCATCTTTACAGAAAGATAAGGAAGACCAGTGGCTAGAGAAAAAAGTACAGGGTAGTAGAGACCACATCATCTTAGAGCATCTTCAGTGGACCATGGGTTACGAAGTACAAATTACAGCTGCCAACAGACTGGGTTATTCTGAACCAACATTGTATGAATTCAGCATGCCACCAAAGCCCAACATTATTACAGGTAAGTTAATTTCATCATGTTTTCTCTCTACTAATTATTTACAACTTATAGTACACTGTGTATATCTGAGCATAACGTAACTGATGTCTTGAACTGGAAAAATGTGAGACCCCAGATTTTGTTATCAGCAAAAAAATTGACTCGGGACCCTTAAATGGGAACCTGTCTCCCACTTTTCTCTTAGTAATAAAGTAATTTTTAAGTATAGAAGAAACATTGATTCTTCAACCCTGTTGATGGCACTCAAAGGAAATACCATATTTAAGATACACCTGCTTTTCAAGTTGCCTTGTACTGCCTGTTCTCTGGTTAAGCCAGTTATTTTCTAGAATTCTTGATTTAATTCAAATCTCTACATGTGCTATGAGCTACACATGTAGTAAAGGCATTTATTTTAGAGTCTGATGAGGTTAAGACTTCAAATAGTCTTGTTTAGATACTGTGTGAATGATTCTCCCTAACACAGTGATCAAACAGACTTCTATGAGGCTGATTTACTACATTTGAAATCTATTGAAACTTTGTTCATATTTTTAAGTCTGTAAATAGGAAGGTTTGAAATTCCTTTTAAGAAAAACTGGATTTTAGTCAAGAGTGAGTGTATGAGTTTTAATGATTCCCAATATAAGGGATTTTGATGCAACAATGAAAATTTATTTGGTTAACAATAAAGATAAAATAAGGTATTTTCTGGAGTATTATGGGTAATTTTAATTTTTATAAAGACAATGCTATGAGCAAAAGATTTTAAACTTTTAATTGAAATTATGAGCTACATCTTTAATAATTATTTCCAAATTAGATTATTATCATCATTACCAATTGAAAAATCAAGTTCTAAATCCTCTAACATAGTATTTTTGACTGCCATTTTTCAAATTGTTAGTGTATTAGAATCAATGAAGAATTTGCCAAATAAATACAATGGCAAATATATTAAAATGTAAACCATATTAATGCCTGTATTTCAATATGAACACCTGATTAGCATTGATACAGTGCCAATGAGCTGGAATGAGTCATGAAAATTTTGAAATAACTGGATAAATTTTTTCTTGTTTATTGTAAGTTTCCTTCCAATATATTTTTGGGAATTTATCTCAAGATCTCTGCAACATTTTTGAATATTCCATAGAAATTTTTATAATACTGGAAGCATCCTTACCTTTTATTTATTGTAAAGAAAACACATTTGTAATTCATTCATAGACTCAGATCCAGTTCTCGTACAAATATTTGTTTATGCACTTGAATTGAAGTCAAGTTGATTTGCATCTTGATTGAAATTCGGGGTCTCAATAGGTTCTGTGTACTTGCTTTTAAAAGGCAAGGCCTTGTGATTGCCATTATTCGGAAAGAAATTTTCCCGTGATTGAAAAAGAAAAGGGGAAAAAAATGTAGGGAAACTCATTGTTCTGAGGAAATAAAAACATCTGCATATGAATAAATATTTATTTATAAATAAAAATTCTGCATATGGGAAACAAAAATATTACTTCTTTTATGATGTATTCTAACTTTAGCCTTTTATAATTATGTAAATTATTCCATACTATTGCCACAGCTGCTGTAGCAGAGAAACTTAATTCTCCTCAGTAAATGATAACATAGGTGGTCTCTAGATATTCAAGTAAGAAGCAGCTTAGTTAATTTAATTTCAGAAGAAAGATAGAACATTTCTCTCTAAAAAGACTTTTATAGGTACTTAGGGGCTTTTTCCTTTCAGTGCTCTCCCATAACCTCTAAGTAGCTGTAAGAAGTCTGTTACACTATTTAACTTCAAGTCTTCTTTGCATGAATCATTACTGCAATTATGATTGTGGAACTAATTAGTTTCCTTGACAACTGTTTTTTCAAAGCCTGAAAAAGAGTGTGAAATTCCCATCATAAGAACATTCTGTAGGCAATATTTTAAAGTATGTCAAAAGACCTTTAGAATCAGGAACATTAGTCTTCATATTCATGAGTCAGCATGATTATCTTGTTTTGAAATGACATAATATTATAACTACAATATAATATTATATACCTATATACATAATGCTGCAAAAATATGAATGTAATCTATTAAATCATAATAAAGTTTATGTATAAAATTATTAAGTTATAGCAGAAATATTCTCTCTGGTGTCAGTTGGCACTGATGATGCACTATTTGCTTGAGGCTTTGGCATTAACAGCTATGTGTCTACAGATAAATTTTAAAAGGGACATAGACAACAAAAATGAAACTGGGTAAATTTTTGAATGAATTCTTCATTTGTCCTGTGCTGTCTCAGGAGCTACAGTAACCAACATTTTCTTTCATATTATTAATGTAATAATTAGAAAAGTGTCTAAGACTCCTGAAGGTGTTAATCTCTATTTGCCCAAATTTGTGGAATTTAGCTGAACTGAGTGTTTATGTCTCGTCCTAAATTTAAAGATAAATAAATCTGTAGACCCTATGTATGCAATCTCATGAATATTACTTATCCCAACCATCTTGTTGGTTAACTACACATAACATAATACCCTGGTGAAGTGTATGCAAGCTAATGCAATAAATCAGGGAGATTGAAGGAAGACTGAAGGGAGATGGAAGCAAGAGCATGTTGGCTGTCCTTCAGTGGGTGCTTAGGAGGGAAAGATGAGTAGTAACAAGAACTAAAACCTCGCTTCTAAATTCTGCACAAGGGCATGTTTGTGCTTTCAAAAGCCATTGGATATCAGGCAGAAGTAGTAATCCCTGGGACAGGAACTGGAAGCCAAAACTCTACTTATGTGAATATACAACTCCTGTGGGCTCTGAATCCACAGCTTCTGCTGCCTAGGGAAGTGTACAAGTACCAGCTCCTGGCTGCAAGTCAAATCCCATGATAGCACAATATGATGATCTTCCAGTAATAGTCTTAGGTCTGGGAAGGAGCTTGAGGCTGAAAATTGCTCTCTGGCATCAGGGAGGTGCATAAATGAGGCAGACATTCCTTTAAATTTTCATGTGGTTGGCCTCAGCAACCTCCAAATGTAGATCTACCTATTTCATAATGTGTGTTCCTAGGCCTGTAACACAGTATCCATTTACTGAGCCACTCACATTTGTGATTAGTTCCTTACAATTTGTAATCCTTTTAATGAAAGTGTCCTGGTTTTCTAAACAGTTCATCAGTGGAAACTTGCACTGACTTTGAGAAATGCCCAGCCAGCAAACCTTTTTAAAACATTTTGAGTTACATAAGTGTATGTATAAATTTATTCATGTGTGTGTATATGTATATGTACATATATATATATATATGTACATATATATATACACACACATCATTTTCCTTCCTACTTTTCTGAGTTATTTTTGTGGTCACAATTCTATATCTGTATTTCACATTACACTTAGGCATATGAACATGTATTTTAGACTCGTGCTTGGGGAAAGAGTGGCACTCTTAAATGTAGCGTTTTATGTGTTCCAAAATCTCACCAGGGATGTCAGTTAGCAATACTTGCAGGCAGGTACAACTCCAACCTCAGTGTGTTTGCCTCTGAGTGAAGTATTTATCACACTTTTAGTGCTGATTTGTAATGTTTTATAAAATTTGCTTCTGGCTTATCTATACTGTTAAGGTTCTAGTTCTGTGGGATTCTCAAAGGAAGTGTTTGCTTTACCTCTTCATCCATATTAGGAGAGCATGCACTAAACTCTGCAGCCATAAAAGCCCCTGGGAGCAGCTCAAGTCCATTAGCTCCCAGAGCTGACTCTACAGCCCATTGGTTTGGGCCCTTTCACTCTTTCTCTGCAGTGAGAAGACAGAAATCCTGTCTTTGTACCCCACAGCTGGTACAAAAGTGTCCAAATCCACTGTCATCCTGAAACATTACAGTTGCAGCCTAAAAACACATGTAAAGGTTAATACTAAATCTCCAAAGAAAATTGAATGGAAGGTGCTAAAAAAGATCCTTTCTGCAAGTGTTAAATATATTTTCAGTAATTACCAGCAGATTTATGAAAGTGCCATTTTCCAAAGGCTCTTATCCAATCAGTGTTGTTACTTTGAAAGGCCAGTAGATATATTAAAAATGGTTGCAAGTTGCTTTTTATCACACTTTTTTTTCTTCTTCGCTAAAAGTTAATAACTTGGTGCAATAGTGACAAAATGAAAAAAATATTTGGATATAACAAGAACCTCTTAGATCTATTTTTCTTACTTTGTGATACTGGTTGTTTGAGGCTTTTTTATTTGTTTGTTTGGTTGTTTTTTCCCAATACTGAATGAACTGTGAGTGTATTTTTTGTTTCCATGTTTTAATTCCTTGAACATCTCATTTATTTATTTCCATGCATGTGTATCACCACACTTTAAATCACATATTGGGAGGCAAAAGAGGGACAGTAATACATAGTATTTTCTCTCATCACCACCAATGCCAAAGATGAAAACCACCATGTCAAACATGATTTTTATCAGTAGTTTTTGCAAAAAGTGGTCTTGACATGAATGAAAAATAAAAGCAGCTCTTATCATTGCTTCAAGTATGTGTGCATATATTTGAATTTGCATTTATATGTATATATTTTATGATTTATTACTAGTGCTTTTGAGCTATATGGACAGTATTTTGTTAAAATAGATGCTAGGATAAGGTTTTTCAGCCAGAAACTAAAAATTACTAATTACAGCAAAACAGACACAAGTTTCCCTGATTATCGCAGTTTTATTTCTGGGCAAGTATTTGCCTTAAATTTTTCTTTCAGTCAAACAATCAGGTGACCTTTTGAGGATAGAAATAAATGCTATATGATCCCATCGGTGTAGCTGGGGTAGGTTTTTGTTCCTGTCACCTCTTGCAGTCAAAGAGCATATTCCCTTGCTGCACCCTATCTCTCACACCCCTTCAACCCATGTGCTACGTGGGTGCCCTGGCACAGTTTCCCAAGCTCTGAAGGGCATTTTCCCCTTCTCCCCTGACCATGCATCCACTAAGAGAAGCCAAAAATCCACCTTCCTCACTCATATTCTGTTCTCCACCACAAAACTATGTAACTTTTGTTGACTGACTGTTCCTATGGGTAAACTTCCAAACTGAACAGCTCTTGTGTCCTTTGAAACACTTTTCCTAGATTTTAAATAATTTTCTATCTTTTTGAAATCAGATTTTATGTGATTACAACCAAGCCTCAAGGTCAGTGTGTCCCATGAGAGCAGACTTTCATGGCCAAGGCCTCTGCTGTCATTTCCATTAACCTTTCTTGCCTCGAGAACACATTGGTGTCTCTTGTTAAACTTGTCAGAGAATGGGGACTTCAAAATTAAAACATTCCTGTAATTTCCTTATAAAATCTTATCTGAAAATAGAGGTAAAATAGAAGTAAAAAAATTCTCTGTAGTGCAGTAGGCAAAATATTGTATCAAACCCTCACATGCTTCTAACAATTGGAATGATTTGGAAAAGACTAGTTGAAAATTTCTGACCCTTGATCCTTAAACCATCTGTACAGCTGCCATAAATTTAAACCACAAAAGACAAAGAAAAAACACAGAAGTTTGAAAGATTTTCACAGGTAAAATTTCCATTTGACAGATCTGAAATGTTAAGTCCATAATTAGTGTCTCTTTTGTATGACTTTGTGCATTACAGGATTTCTCAGTCTGTCTCTACAGATCTGACTAGTTAGGGTTTTAGCTGAATCTAAAATGGAGAACAAAATGAAGGAGTCAAAAAGGAAAGCCTGTGGCATGTTAGTCTCCTTGGAGCTCTGATCAAATTCCCAAGGCAAGAAAGAGCTGCAGCATTATCCTTGTGAAGTTACCTGGCTCATTTTCTCATAGGCTGGAGGATATTGTAATTCCAAAATAAGAATTCGAAAATGAAGGCTTTTGTCTGACTTTTGTTCAGGTCGTAATCCTGAGCTAAAAGTGTAAAGTAAATTCTTCAGCCAACATTGATGTGATGGAAGAATAATTTTATTATTTTCTGAAAAGAATAGGGAGGTGAAATGTATCTTTGAGGTCTCCTGCTTTGAGAAAAGAAGTTGGTAGGACTCACACCAATCAGATTAATTAGTATCTAAAATTTCAGAAAGATAACAGCCCCCACAAAACCTATTTGGTTTTGTTTTGCAAACCACTAGGAGAATTTGCTGAATAAGAGCCATTTCTCCTCAAATCCTGGAGATGATCATTGTTGAAAGTGATAGGGCATGTTCTTGCTCTAGGCTAAAACCAGCTGTTTGCTCCATTCCCTGCAAAAACTGAAGTTATTACATGAAAAGGGATAGAACTCCCTCACTAAAATTGATAGAACTTATTTGATATGAATCAGAGAGAGAGACAAAAAGGCTTGCACCATCAAAAATGTTTAAAAAAAAAAAATAAAATCTAATTCTTTTGGTACAGCTCTCACAGACATTAACTACCACTGAATAGCAGTAGAGCAGCAATCAAAGAGCTATTCTGTATTCTCAGAATTTCTGCTTCAAAAGGAATTTATTTTTTTATTTTAGGAATTTATTTTTTCATTTTATCTTATGAATTTTAGTTTGCTTATCTTTTTGAATGCTGTGAAGGAAAAGAAAATCACTATAGATGTTGAATGTTGAAGTTCAGGGCCACACTTTACATGTGTGGTACTCTAATCCTTTTTATTTGTTGCAGGTAATTGCTAGCATTATGATGCTTTCCAATTAAAATATCCCTGAGTGCCAATTAAAAGATGAAATGCTTAGACATACTCTCTAAAAATATTGAAAAGCTGAATTATTGAAGTAAATGTGGAAGTTTAATGTGCTCAAGTTTCTACTTGATAGTTATCTACATCTGGTAGTTATCATGTATGTATTTGTGCAAGAACAGGGGCATTTGTATGATAAGAAGATAATGCATTTGTTAAATATTATGCATACAAGACTATATTTAGCTTTATAGTTTGCTTCTATTTGCTTTATATTTGCTTCCATTAAATTTTTTAAACAGTTTTAAGTAAAGATTTAACCAAGACTATTGCTTATACTGCATAAGGTTTTATACATTTTCATTTCTTTTGAAGTCTTTTTCAAAACATTATTTTAACACTGGTATTAATCACTACCAACATAATTATTGTGTCACTGTATCTGGAAAAAAAAATCTAGTCAAATCACTATATATTGCATAAATTTGACTGTATTATTTGCCAAAGAGTGAACCTTTAATATGAATATTTGTAGAAAAAATATATTTTAACATTGTAATTGTAACCAGACATACTGTGAGGATGTGAATGTCAAAGAAACTACTGTGTTCCCATTCCAGTGTCAAAGTCAATATCTAATTACTGAGCTGCATGTGTTAATTGCAAGGGTCATTCATATTTTAATTGGACCTGTCTCCATATTATTGAAGCCAGTTTTCATGGTGGCCCATTGTGAGCTCCTACCATAATTCAGTAACAAGATAAAGTCATTAGGAAGGAGAAACAGATAAACAAGTTCGTCGCTTCTGGTGTATGACTGGGACCTTTTTGTGTAATTATTGACACAGTTCTAGTTTCTCCTTTCAGCCTACAGGCTGGTGTTTCTCCTTGCTTTCAATACTCCTTGCTTTAAATAGTCAGTATTCACTATTTCTGATAGTTACAGGACGGTATTTCTGATAGTTACATGGCAGTTTTGTGAATTCCAAGTACCTCCAACATAAAAGTCAAAATTGTATTTAGGTTGAGCTTGGCTAAATGGTCCCAGTGAGAAGCAAGAAACATGCTTCAGGATAAGCACTTAAATAAATTGTTTTAAAATTAGACCAAGCAGTTTGCTACTTTGACTGTTGAGGAGGACCACATTGCTGCTATGGAGGTATACCTGTTCCACAGTTTTAGTACTAGATTCTATAGATTTGGCCAGGGTATTTCAATGGTTGCCACTCCATCTATGCTTTACTCATAATTTGATGTTTCTGTTAGAGTAATGGAAGTGACTGTCTTTGGCACAATGTAAATATTTTTTTTTTTTTTTCTTTCCCACTTTTGTTTCCTTTTGCTACTTTCTTTTTCATGCTGTCTCAACTTTTCTACTTTTTTTTTCTAAAATTTACCTCTTTTTCACACTCTTGATTTTCTATAACTATTCTTATCCACACAGACCGATGCTGTGAAGCTACTAGACGTGAAAATGGAGGCCAGTCCCTGCAGCTGAATGCTGCTGTTTTCTCTCTCACTGTAGTCCTAAGGTTCTGGTGCATGATTTTATACTGTTGATGATAAGGCAAGCAATATGCATTCTTCCTGTCTCTCTAAATTTTTTATTTGTGGGAAGATAAACACAGACCTTATAAAATTTGTACTTTTCTATAGCTCTTCCAAAGTTTCCATTCCTAATCAAGATTCTAAATATTGTAATTACTTCAGTCTGTTCATGCAAAATTCTTCATGGGGCTTTTTGGATACCTGGTGAGTTTTGTGACAAATTCAACAGATGATGCTTGACAGTCCAGTCGGATAGAACGTGGAGAATCTGACTTACTGAATTTAATCAATGTGGTTTGATTCTATTTTCTCAACTAGAATTTGATTATAAGAAATTAATGCAAGACCTTATCATTGTCAGTCACATGGTTTTCCAGGTACACCACCAATTCAGGAGAGTATTTTCATTTTGTACTAATCCTTTGCAAAGAGTTGTCCTTTCTCTGGTTCCTGACACAAGGTACTTAAAACTTTATGCTTAATAAAAATGGTTTAAGTCCAGGCTGAATTGAGCTTTGAGAAACCTGGTCTAGTGGTAGGTGTCCCTGTCCACAGCAGAGGGTTGGATGATCTTTAAGGTCCTCAAAACCCAGGCCATTCTGTGGTTCTGTGAATACAGACATGTTTTGTGCTTTCTAATGGACTTTAACAAGCATGTCTTCCCTAAACAATTATTTATGAATTGTTTTAGTTCTTAGTGTTTCATTTCAAATACTTTTTCTGTGCCTCTCCACTGACATGCATCAGCACATAAAATAGGTCCCTGCCCACCAAAGTCGCTTCTTGTGCCTGAAAAGGTGCCACATTTCATTTCATGGCATCTGTAGGACTTAGAAGCCCCAGGGATTCAATTTTGACCTGTAGTAAAAATGGAAAAAACATATTTTCCTGTTTTATATATTAAAAGCATGGTTTATGAGCTCTGCAGCAGTGTGTGTAAGACCTCAGGAAAAAAGATTTAATAAGAGTCCATATATATATTTTATTGCATAAATTTGATTTTAAAATTTATGTAGTTGTCTAGGTTTATGGTTCATTCCTCTGTGGCATACAGAATAACCCAAGAAAGCAATGCACTTTAAAATGAAGGCAAAATTAAATATTTATTTTAAGAGAATTCCCTTCAAATTGTTACTTAATATAGCAAACATGATAAATTATATGTTCATTTTTTTCCTCTTTATAGTTCATACATTTTGGAATCTAAAGTTATCCTTCAAATTGGAAATCATCTGGTCAAAATTAAGTATCTATATACCTTCACTCAGTTAAAGGCTTTTCTTATTTCTAAGAAATATTGATAATTATGTTTGTTGCCAGATTTGAAATATTTTTGGAAGTCTTTCCTTTAGGACATCAAAATAAAACCTCTCCTCATCTCAACCAGCTAACAATTATTTTTAAAAATTGGGACTATGTCACAAGTAAGATGTCTTCAGTGTGTAAGTCTATGGAATAATTTATTGACAGAAATACTTTTTTAAATAGTTCACATATTTAGTGTAATGAAGTAGCTGGAATTGAAAAGATTGCTATCGAAACATTAGTTTCATTGTAATCTGCAGATAAGCTCTCATTCTAAAGTCAAGCCACTGTTCCATCCATGGCCCTTGCCAATATGTTCTGTTACTAAAAATGTCATGACATTACTTTGAAATTAATTACATTGATGAGTGCCTGACGTAGTGTGGTAAAGAAAGACGTTTTCTCTTCTAATTTTGTAGGAGCTGAAACTTTGGGTTCCTATTTATTTATGGGTGAAACCCCATTTTTCTATGCACAATATGTTAATATATATATTGACTTTTTAATTTAGTTGTATAGGTCTTCTTCCAATATATACAATTTATTTTTTTAAATGATTAAGTGCTTATTGAAACAAGAGATGTAACTAATGAAGGAGAGATAATATTTGTAACAAAACTTTTCATTTTAACTATGTTACAGTGGATTTGGATTACTAGCTACACATAAGTTACCAAAAACTTTCAGATCTGAGAACATATTTTCAATTGAGTATGACTCAGACAAATAATGTTGCTAATGCTAAATTTATTTTTAGTGAAAGAATCACCTTGGGCAGGAACTTTTGCAAGAGGTTTTCTTTTTTTTTCTCTTACCATTTCGAAAATCCAGATAGTGAAAATGTTTGTTGTTGTCACTTATTGCCACTATTGCCTTCTGTGGTAACAAAACTGCAAGGATAGCTCCACGTACCATCCAAGAACTGATGATTGGCTAACATTTAGTAAGTAGATGCTGTAGTAGATGCTAAAGGGGAAAGAAACCCACAGTACAAACATACTGCAAACACCTGCTGGGAGATGTTTCTCAGTCTGCAGGAGCTCAGTGGTGCACCAGCACTGGGACTCCCTTTGGGCCAGGGGAGCAGTAAATTCTTTCTAGGGGCTCCTCTTTGCAGACACATTCCTTTTGCATCCTGATCCCACTGTAAGACAAGCACTACATGCACATGAAAGAACACAATCTTCTCTTGTGGACATGTAGTTACTGTTCTGAACATAAAGAAAATAAAATTGCAGATCCAATCAAAACTAATGAGCACCTACCACTGGATTAAAGAGTCTTGAGTAACACTTATATTGTCTCATAAACTGAAAAATAAAATAGGTTCTTATAAGGTTGCACAGACAGTTTGATCCCAGTATTTCCTTATTTTGTAAGATTTTCCTAATTTTCTGAAACTTGAAACCTTGATGCTATTCTACTAAATGTTGTCTAATATATTTTCACCTTCCACATACTTGTCACAGTTATTAATTGTTTTTAATAAAGCAAGACTGGACATTATTACAGGTATGCAGAAGAGCAGAAAAAATAAAATTCCCATACCATTTTTCTACTCTGGCAAGACATGTGAAGAGCTCTTTACAGGCTATAAATTTGTTATCTTAGCAAGTCATTCTAACATTGCAGATAAGTATATAAGAAGGCAAGATAGGAATTAGGGCGCAGAGACTGATCGACTGTGAGTTAGCGCTCACATTAGAGCTCTAACTCTAATGTGAGCTCTCCAAATACACTGTGAAGGAGATAATGAAAAGCCTTGAGAAATTTTAGAGGCTAAATATACATTATGAATGGCAAGTTGTCTTTTATCCTCAGTGTCACAATGCCAGTGGGACAAAGAGACAAATTTGGATCACTTATCTTTTTTTCTAACTGATATTAGCTTCGGCTGGGAACTTGATAAATTTGCTCTGTTAAGTAAGAGAAATTTTAGTTCTGCTCCAACTTAAATTATTCTGTGCTTTGTATTTTGTGGTTATCAAGTATTTTGAATGTGAACCTTTTTTTTTGGCCTTCCTTTTCCCATCCAATTCCAAAGAGAATCACTTAAACCAATATTGTGGGGATTATGTGACTGCAGAGCCAGGCAGTTCTGGGCAGTGACCCAGAACCTCTGTAATGAGAAAGAAAAAGTGGAAGAGAATAATGTCCTTGGGTTGTCATATATCTCCTCAGATGAATGACTAATACAGCTTTGTTTGTAGTTCTCTTTATGAGTGTTTCATAATTGTATCTTTAAAAACAATGAGACCGAGATTATTTCACAGTATTTTGTGCAGTCTGTGTGAATATTCAGAAGATTTTGAAATCTTGGCTTCTTACTGACAAGAATGGGGAAAAAATTAACAGAGACATTTTCAAATTAAATTATAATTCATAGGTATAGGCTGAACAGCTTAAAATTGTAATTTAAACTCTATTAAAATGATAAATATGCCTTTACAAATTGAATTCAATTTATTTCTGACATTAGTATTTAAATGTTAGATAAGTAAATTTGTTCCTTTAAATGTTGCAATTCTAAAAGGGATTTTAGGTCTTATGACTGACAGTGTAAAATGTTACAATTTTTTAACATTGTCACATATTTTGAAATGCTAATATTAAACTGTCTGTAACACTGAAGTCCTAAAATATGCTATGCTGATCTTGTGCCTTAAATCCAAATTGGTGGCACAGAAACTTAAAAGGGGTAATGATTATTCTGTGATATAGCAGTATATCTCTAAGGAACAGTATTTTTAAAATGTCCTGATTTACAGCCTTTAGAGTCTAAGGCTGGCTTCTTTGCTAATCAGATTTTATTTGTTGTCTTTCTTCTTTCCAGAGTTTGGACAAGTTCCTAACATTTACAAATTGTTCAGAAATCAAAGTATTTACATAGTGCAACTTCAAATGCAATCCTTTTTTTGCTACTGTAGGGTTATTAAAATATAAATTGCTGTCTCTCTAAATAGGAAAAATATTGCCCAGAAATAGACACATCTATTGCATACACTGGGTATAAAATATAACTTCTGAATGGTTTTTTGAGGTGTACAAAACATGCTATTACCAAATAACAAAATAACATTCCATTAAATTTTTTGTGAAAGTGTAAGGCCAAGCACTGATGCAAAAAAAATTATATGCATGTGAAGAATATTTATTTAAAAGATAAACAGCTATGGTGATTTAATTATACACATAACCTTCTGACCAATTCTCAGTAAGTTTTCAGGGTTTTGCCATGTACTCCCTCTCTCTATCATGGAAACCTGCACAGGCACCACTCAAATGTGTATGCAAATGTAAAGTTAACTAATTAAGCCTGAAAAAACAGTTGCTGGTTTTTTCTTTTGGGTTTTTTAAATTAAGACATAATGGAGATTTTTATACAATTTGTGATTGTGCTAATAGCTGCCAATTCTCTATCTGTTGCCCAGTATGTTGATGACTCCTGATTGTTCATTTTTTCAGGAATTTTGGGAGCAAAGGAAAAAAAAAAAAAAGTGTTACTTTCAGGATGGAAGTTGAATATTATATAGAGAAATGTAGCTTCTGATGTCTATAATGCCAGCACTGAAATCTTTGCTATATTTAGGGCTCATTTACGCTTATCACATTTACTTTATCCATTCATTTTCTCCAGGCACATAAGGAATATTCAGTTTTCCATTGCTGTATATTTATCAGACATAATGTGTAAGTGATGGAAAATCACCTTTTCCCTTTAATGTCAATGACATCTTACTATAAAGCTGATGGCATCCAATACCAAGTGTAGAGATGAACCAACTTTGCCTGTTTAGAAACAGTTGTGTATGTAAGCTGTATGCTTGAGTGCTGTGCTAAGTTTAGATATTTTACAGCAAGAGAAGAAACTGAGGTAGGAATATGCATTTTTGTTCATTTTTTATAGGGTCTGAAGTCCCAAGAAGTGTGGTAGCAATGCTTGCCACCATACTACCGTTATGTTGTACAATATTCTTATTAACAGTTCTGTATATTTATTTTACATGTTTAACATTTTTGTAGAGATAATTTCCAGTGCATATTTTATTTACATAAAATTTTAATTTTAGTGCATGTATTAAATGCCCATAATAGAAGCAAAGTAAATTTTCTCAGTGTATGTATCCTACAGAATGGCAGACCAAAATACATACAATGTACTAAAAACTAATTCTGTGAAAAATATTGAATACACTGCAACATCTGTAAGTTTCTGTTTTTAAAAAGAGTGTGAAAGGCAAGGAAAAAATCTGGATTTAAAGTAGCTAATTTTAATTTGTGTAACATTGTTTATTTTTATCTTGTTCATAATTCACTACCATTTTGCACCACTGATTTTTTCATGCATGCAGCACTTGTTGTCATCTCTGCTTTTTTCCTGAAGAACGTGTTCATGGTGTAAATGTGATGTCCCTCAGCACCTTTCCAAACACAATGTCAAGAAATATATGTAACTTAGTGTGTCTTTCATCTGTTGTTCGTAGTTCATTTTAGTTCATGCAACTTCTGTCTTCATTTTTTGTAATAAAGAAAACTGACTTAAAGCATTACTATCTGTATTTTCTTTATTGCTGATAAATTCTCCTTTTTTCTTGTACTATCTGCATGATATATTTTGTATCTGCAGAGATAATTTTTAGCATTGTATCTGCATTTTATCTGCAGTGTTTTATCCAATATTGAGTATTTTAAAAACCCAAACTAACAAAATACCAAAAAAAACCCCCAAAAAACCCCAAAACCAAACAAACCAACAAACAAAAAAACCTACCCCACCACAAACATCAAAGTCACTAAAATTACAATTCATTAATTTTAAGTCTTGCTCATATTAGGTGGCTGTCATGCTACTGCATTAGT